CAAATACTCAAAAATTATGTCGGGGCTCACGATGAAGGTTCGAGAGTGTTAAGGGTCGATTGGAAGCAATTAGAAGTCAAAAAGGAATGGAATATTATCAAAATCAATTTCCAATTCACACAAGATATATTCTAAATTTTTAGCTGAAAATTGAGATCAATTTTTGGAATAGTAAATGTCCAAATTGGAAAAGAGCTATTTCCAATAAAGTTGTAGCTCTTCGAGTTATCTTTCTAACACATTTTGATTCGTCTAAATTGGATATCGAAAGAAAAATTTATAACCAAATTACTGACTGCTGTGTAGAGACAAAAAATCCTCGCGCGAAAGCAACTTTCCTTATTCGATTAGAACTTTTTTGGAAACCAATTTGGACGTGATTTTCATCCAATTTCTAACTGTTACAAATACTTAACAGCATAATACATATGGAGGAGGTCTCCATACACCATTCTTCTCCTCTTTGGCTCAAGAAATACACGAGGAACTAAAGATCTTGATGAAACTACGAAGGAACTCAATTGGAATTGGGGATTTCATGTCTTTTATTCATTTAATTTGATCTTTTCATTGTCAAACAATCATAGAATTTAGATTTTCATTCTCTTGAATTTATATTGAAATCGATTTAATATTTATAAGATTTTTCATGGATTCAGTCATGCTTTTTCCATTGTTCAATCAAACTATTTTTTGAGTTTCAATTTCAATTCTTTGTTGTTGAGATTGATTTAACAACTATTATATCTTTCATAGATCCAGTCATATTTTTTCTATCGTTAGATTAAACTAGTGTTGAATTTTAATCTCAATTTCACCTTATTGACTGATTGATTACTGCTTTATGCTTGGTGTATATGGTCGATCTTTGATCTTGGTCCAATAAAATTGTGCGAATATGTTTTACGTCTAAATTCTTGAATTACATTTGTAAATTAAATTAGTTTTCACGATATATCTTCCGATTGGAGTGTCAGGATGAAAACCTCTAATTGTGTTATAAAAATGAATAATTGATATGATTAATTCAATCTAAATGAGGGAATTCTGATACTTCACTGCTTCAAATTATTGATTCTAATTTCACATTTCAATATTGAATTTTATTACACATTTGAAAGAACAATTCAATATTTTTGATCTTTTAATTATTCTTCCATCTCCCTATGGATACGACACCACAAAGCTGCACTACAACTATCGCATTATTCTTTGGGCATAATCACATACTAACAGTGCATATATGCAGAAGTGAACTAGTAAAGAAAAACTACAAGCATGATATGAAAAAAAAAAATTGTTCATGCTAGTGATATGGAGTTTATTTCCTACATTACATTTGCACAATGTTAATGTTCACAACGACCTAAAATGAGTTACCTTCTTGTCGAAGCATCTTTCTTTTCTGGCGGTATTTATTCAAAGACGTTTTCCTCTTTGCCAACCAGTTTTGATCTACCTTTCTCCTGCTTCCACTGCCGCTTACATGACCAGCTCCGCATTTTACAATGGCTTTATTATCACTCCCTTTAGGCCCATTGCTTCCATTCTGCCCATTACTTCCTAATGCACTTCCATAGTCATTAGCATTTCCTTCCATTTCTTGGCCTAACTTATCAGGTGGTCCACCATTTACAACTACTGCAGTTAAATTTTCCAAAGACAGATTATCGGGGTTAAGGGACTGCTGTTGTTGTAAGTTGTAAGGGTGGTGGTGGTGATAATGGTGGTGGTGGTGGTGATGATGGTGGTGCTTCTGAACTTTATTCTGCTGCTGCAACGTCTTTCCTTGAACCAAGGTAGCGTTTGTTGTGTTGGGGTTGTCCAGTATCATTAGCTGACCAAATGTGTTGCCTAGCTACACGGCTGAGAAACAAAAATACGATGATCAGGCATTGTCTTATCAATGTTTCCTTCTTTCTTGGCAAAGGCGTTCTTCGTAGAGGAACCCATGTAATTGTTGGGGCTACTGCCATTAGAGCCCTGATAAGGTGTGCCACCTATCTTGGTTGCTTCTGAACTATTGTTTATTGGAGAGCAGCTGCCCACATTTACTAAAGTGGCATTAGCATTATACCTGAGAGGTGCCAAGAGTAATACAAATGGTCAATTTGAGGATTCTTGTTTCAAGGAAACACAGAGTTTCTAAGCATTCGGATATAGACCTTGAGAAGGCTGAAACGTCTGACTGTCTCAATACATTCGGCAAAAGAGTATCAATCCCTGTTTTGCTAGTTTCTCTGAGTTGTTTCAAACTTATCTCAAGACAAGACATTTCCTTAGAATCATAGGTCGAATGTTAGTCATTGGTAAGTTTAGACATGTCACTCAAAAAATTGTGGTCTACACTTTCCATAAGATGTATAGGAATTTCGGTGGTTGCATCAATGGGACGGGAATTCCCATTCCTCAGCTCCACCTTTTCCTTTTTGGAATTATTATTATCCTCAATTAAATCTAGAACTAGAAATTTGTCTTTTCCAGTATCCAGTGTACTGCCAAATACTTCTTCTTTCTGAGCTTGTAGATCTAAATCTGGACGATTAGGAATTCCTATCTCCAAACCTTTTCCCATTGCTGTGTTATATGAGTTATAAGATATACTGTTTACCCAACTGAAGTAGCAAATCAACAACAATTATGTTGAAAAGAGAAATAGTCCTACCTAGGACGTCATCCTGCTTTAAGTGTTTTATAGTAGATGCTGTAGGCACCCTAAGCATGTCGGGTCTTGAATGGATTTCCTGGCCAGAAGTGCTATCTGGAGCATTTGCTAATTCATTCTAGGAAGACAAAAGTTTGGGGCTACCGCCTACTATGGCCCTTTTTGCCCTTATTGCAACAGAATAGTTTTTCCTTGTAATTGCTTCCTCCATGGTGTTTGATCCATCCATGGAAGGGGTTAATCCTCTAAGGTAACAAGTTGTGCCTCTTTGTGAGATACATCGCACTTGTCCTTGATGAGGCTATTTTACCTCATTGCAAGGGAATAGCTCTTCCTTGCAATGGCTTCATTCATGGTGTTTGATCTATCCATGGAAGGGGTTGGTTAATCCTTTAAGATAGCAAGTTGTGCATCTTTGTGAGATACATCACACTTGTCCTTGATGAGACTATTTTACCTTATTGTAAAAGAATAGCTCTTCCTTGCAATGACTTCCTCCATGGTGTTTGATCTATCCATGGAAGGGATTTTATGCAGTCGAAGCACTGATGCATATATGGGATGAGGCGTTGCATTACGGAGTTCCATATTTCAGAACAATGCCTATTAATTCATCAAATATGACCCCTTTTCAGGGGTTCTTCCTTCTTTAGGAGTAATTATTCATAGCTCCTTCAGGGGCTTTCCTTTTTCAGGGGTTCTTTTATTTGTGACATCTTCAAATGCCACATCTTTTTTGGGGTCTTCATTTCATGGGAGATGCATTGATGCATAGGCGAAGCTAAAAATTGCCTTCAAGTCCTTCAATAATTTCATGATCAGGTCCCTTAACTTTTCATCTTTTATATTTTGTTCCCCACATTTTGACTTTTATTTCGATCTTACCTTTAATAAATTGCATCCAAAAGTCCATCAACTTTTGACACTCCTACACTTTAGTCCCCAAATTCACTTTTTTGTTCGCTTTTAGTCACTTTCTCTTCTTTCGCATTGTTCTCCTTCAATTTGGGGATATGTACTTCTCACATGTGGGAGGCACTTATGCATAGGTTAGGAAGAGACGTTGCATGGCGGAAGCGCTGTTGAATAGGCCAATATGAGGCCTCTATACTCGAAAAAATCATGGTTGTAGAGTTGGAGTATTCCTACAAGGATGAAGCCTTTGAAATAGATTAGGCTTTTGTGTAGAGGTGAAGTCCCATGTTTCAAGGATGAGACTTCTTAATTCTTCAAACTTGTTCCCTTCTTTAGGGGTTCTCCTTCGTAGTCCCTTCTTTAAAGGCTCCCATTTTTTAAGGTGTTATTCGATGAATGACCCCTTTCAGGAGCCTCCCATTTTCAGAGACTCTTTCGCTTATGAACTTCTTTTTCACAGGCCTCCCCATTTACAGAGGTTATGTGCATCCCATTACATTTGGATGAGTTGTTTCACAAGAGTGACTTCGGTCTAGATGACCTCTTCTTCAGAAGCGTCCTAGTGATTATTCCCACAGTGCGTTCCCTGGTGACTCGAACTCATCGAGTTTCTTGGATCACTTTCTCAAAATGGTTCTTTGTTCAAGAACCAAAGCCTTTCTTCAAGCCTTTTCACCCATAGATTTTACCGCTATGATGTACGTGGTTATTGTATCAAAGTTTCCTATAGATGGTACTAATATGTTGAGCCCAAAAAATAGACCAATGACGTAGCCAACAGAAAATTAGAAATTCACGTCTTTGTAAGTGTAATCGCAATATACTCAAATCAAATTACTAATTATATTGATGAGTTAATGAAGAGAATGATTCGAAGTGTCTCACTAGTTGCAATGTGATTATTTGGTTGATAAAAGGGGGTCGACGTAAGGAGTAAAACAGAGAAAATCAAGGTTCACTTTTGCTGTGTAAACTTGCCTCTCTTGGGAAATAACACTAAGTGTCGCTTTTATAGTAGAAGATGATGATTAAGAGTCGTTAGATGGGGGGCACGTGGCCTCATCCGCACAGCTGGAATCTCTTGTCATAGCCATCAATCAATCATTCATATGCCATTTTGTATTTAATGTCGTTATAGTCCTACATGTAAGACTAGACTTGTTTGATTGAATAGAACTACCTATTTAGTGAGTTGTCATATCACCCACTTGATACAAGATCTAGTATGAAGATCTTCTCTAATACGAGACCTATCTTATGTCATTCATTGGGGCTCAACTCTTCATGGGGGTTCGGCCAAATTGGGGTGCGGCCAATAGAGGCTCGACCAAATTGCCATATGGGCAGAATGATGTGGTAATAGGGTCGTCTAAATTGTCATGTAGGATGTGGAACCCTCATCGTCTACCACATAGTTCAATTAGGTATGATTATTTATATGAATAACAGATAATAAAAATTATAATATAACGATCACATTCACATTTGATACAACGAACAAGTAATGGCTAATAATTGTGTACACAGTACTTTCATAACCCCTAGTAGTATTTAAGTAGTGTTTGCAAAAAGCATTGTTTGATATATCTTTAATATATGAAAAATCTCATGAAACGAAAATCATTTTATGAACAATTCAACCTAAGTTATATTATGTTATTTTAGTTGTGCCCTTTTTAATTTGAATTTAAGTTGGTTGACATGTGAATTCTTGCATCAATTGAATCAATTTCGTTGAAAAATAAAGCAAATGCATATTACATTCATATATTTGTAAGAATGTGGTACGTATATTCTAATATTTCGATTAATTAAGCAAATGATTCGTGTGCTATGTAACTACATATATATCTTAATGAGAAGTATTTAATAATTGTTAGATACATAAATTAAGTTATATTCGTATTTAGAATAATCTAGAAATATTTAGTATGAAATTAGCAAAATGTAGACACTCCTAAGGGGCCGAATTTTGCTAAATTCGGTCTGACATTCGTGTATGCGAATACAAGTTCAAGGCACGATGTAAAATTTTGATCATTGATTTACACCTCCCCACCCGCGCATGTAAAGAGAACTTCTATACTACACATGATTACACAATTTCAAAGTAACCACATGTGAAGTGGTCCTTACTTTCATCGACTTCCTATGTGGGATAAATTTAAATATAGTTTTCTCTCCAACATGAACTATCTTCCTATGGTCCAACTTGAACTCTAATTTCTCATTCTCCCGCTTTCTTTTTATAGCAAGTAAATATATGATTTCGATATTTTCATGGAAGATAAACGAATCAACTTTGATATTCCAAATTGAACCAACGCGCCCCACCTAAAATTGTGCTAAAAGTAAGCCCAATAAAGCCATTTTTCCAACAACTCTTCCCCATGTGGATCGGCATGCTACTGATGGAGTCGAAACTATTACACATTTCATTGTTTATCTTACTTCCTAGAGGATTTGCATTCGGACGTCCTTTGTGCAGTTATGAGAATCCTTGAAATGTTTCTTGAACCTGTATACCTACAAGGCAGACTATTCCACAGGATCCTTCAGAGATAAGCTTCTGTTCTGTCGGGATGTACCGAGGTGCATCTTACTTTTCATGAATGCATGGACATTTTATAGGAATCTATTGTGCATGATTTTTTATTTTTTTTTTCTTTTCTGCGAAAATATATAATTTTGTAAAAATATGAAAAAATTATGTAATTAATACATTGAGAATACTTGACTGAATGTAAATTTATACATGAATGATAGGGAAAAAAAAAACTATTTTTTTTTAGATGAAAATGAATTGGAGAATACGATAACAGTTAAAAAATTAGCATGTAAAGTAATATAAATGGTGTGATTTGTTTTCGATTATTTAACCAATTTAAATGATAATTCTTTATAAATTTTTACCATAATTATAAAGTCCCTGTTTGATCCCCTTTAAATCAATTATTTAATTCTCATAGCTATTTTCAATCACGTTCCTGTAATAAAATATTAAATTTTACTGCATGCATCCTGAAAGTGAAGTATATAACATCCAAGTGATATTTCATCATTGGCTGATGGGACATGTTTTTCCACTAGTCCATCAACCAATAATGAAATGTCATTGGACATTAACACCGATGTACTATTTTACACATACCTTTTAATCACATATTCTAAAAAAATCACTATTCAAAATGTCATTTTTTTAAAAACAATGGTCATCATTGGCAAAATGGAATATATCAAGATTATAAATTTTCCATACGATTATGTGCCCCGTTTGATGAGATTAAAATCAAATTTTGATGAAATGTATGGTTGAAAAATTGTGAATCCTATAAAATGTGTTGTTAAAATTAATTGTTCACTTTGATTTAAAATTTAATTAGGTTTTGTAGTGGTACCAAAAATAGTTGTATTATAGAAACTCGAAAACATTTATTTATATGTTGAAAAATGCTTATTGTTCATAATTATTTATATAATATTTTACAAAATGATAAAGTATCAAAATATAAGTAATGAAGTTATTTGATTGACAATATATTTAATTGATAAGATTTAGTGACTCGACTTTGACCCCCCGTTTGACCCCTATTATTTTTTTTTCTCTTCTTATTAACCACATATTCTCCAATAAAATAGAAAGTGTTTGGTAGTGAACATAAAATTTGCATGAAATAAAAATAAATTCTAGACAA